GCTATGGTTTCTGTTGTAGCATCGCTATCATCGCCTCCGACGACGACGTCCCATGGCCAATGGCGTGTGTGTGTGTGTGTGTGTGTGTGTGTGTGTGTGTGGGTGTGTGGGTGTGTGTGGGTGTGTGGGTGTGGAGAAAAGTCACTTCAAACAGCTGTGTGGTGGATACCAGGCTAAAAATAGTGGCGGTCAATTCATCAGCCTTGCAAGCTGTTGAATGGTGTAATCCCAGCACAAGTTGCTATGTCTAACATAGCTGTTCGCTATCATCGCTTCCGCGATGGGCATGTCTGAGGTCTGAGGTGTGTGTGTGTGTGTGTGTGTGTGTGGTTGTGTGGGTGTGTGGGTGTGAGGGTGGGTGGATGGGTGGGTGGGTGCGTGCGTGCGTGCGTAAGGCAAAATTGTGAGTTTGTGCGAAGGAAATAATTTGTCGGAGAGGATGCCTGACGGCGGAATTGCTCGACTCAAACAAGGGTGGTGCGCGCGTGCGCGCGCGCGTGCGCGTGTGGGTGCGCGTGTGCGTGCGCGTGCGCGCGTACATGTATGTTTGTGCATGTGTTTGTGCATGTGTATGTACGTGAAGGTATGTGTATTTGATTATTTCGTCCAGTATGACTGCATTCAATTTCGGCCAGTATCATGGCTGGACTGCATACTTCCTCTTAGGGGTGAGACATGGCCAAGTGTAGAGGTGTGAGCTTTCTGATTGGTCCGGCCATGCTATACAAAAGTAACGTTCATCCGCTCGATAATCGGACCCAATTTTTGTGGTGATTTTACCTTCCTTTCAGTCGCTACTTTCACCGAGACCAGTAAGCAACGGACCACCTACTTCCATTCCATGTTCACTTGAGGGAAAGACACAAGCCGGGGGAAAGTCTGAAAAAATTGACTGTCACCACCAGGATTCGAGCCAGGGACCTTCGCTTGTAGCCAGCGATGCGGTAACCACTGAGCTATCGTGTAGTCGTCATTCCAGCCGAGAGACCGTTCACCATTTTCTTCATCAGACTTCCTAACTCACACTTCCTGTGAATCCACACAGGCGGGTGGGACGCAGCCCTCACTGTAACCCACACATTATGTGCATGACTGTATTTAGTTGGTAGGTACGTTTCTATTAATTTTGAATTCGCAGAACCAAACTTGCGATGTCACCCAACTACCGGTACATGGAAGCCAATGGAAACCAGGAGTATGGTATTGTACTACTCCCTGATGGAAACAATAACGTATTGTAGAAAATAACCTATTATTATGATACCAGCGTGTAGTACAAAGCAAAGAACGCGCAGTCAATGAGGATAACGTTGATTTTCTTCGGGAAGGCCGGTAGACAGCACACAACGTAGATCTATGGTAGATCTATTGTAAAAGCACCGTAAACGTTCAACGGTACGGTAGTGTTCAGTAGTGGTCACCAGCCACTGGAATCTGTCATGGGTATGGTTTTCAGAGGCCAGCGATGATCGATTATAGGATGCAATGACTCATGCAATGATGTGTAATGCATAAAAGGTGGCACTCGCTCTCTGAACTTGACTGAAGGGTTGTGCGTTCATTTTGAAAGGGGGGGGGGGGCAAAGAGTGATGTAGGGCCCAGCGCCCCGCTATGTTGCTTTGGAAAGAACCCTGCCTACATCAGTACATGTCAATGATGTCATCATGTACTGCGAGGAAGAGTCAAATGCCATACATGTATAGGTACTACGGAGTAATTGTGCTGGCAACTGAAATCCGACCCCGGAGCGGTGCGCTCACATCGGAAAGAAGCAACACAGTAACACTACGAAATAGAGACCGCTAGAACGCATCGCTCAGGGGTCGGATTTCAGCTGCCAGCATGCACTGTGTCATGATTGTATTCTACTACCCTCTGGTACTCCCTGGCCGGGACTGTACATGTCATGTACAATGTCATGTACATGTACATGTATGTGTGATAGCCTTGCGCAAGTGTCCTGCAGCTTGCAAGGACATTATTATGCTGCTGTGGTTTTCTTTTCCCGTGTTTTTGCCTTTTTTTCTGTCTAGAACTTTGAGTTGAAGTTTTTTGGAACACTTGGGGAAAATATTCATTGTGTTTTTTTGGCGGTGAAAGAGGCTAGTAGGAGAATTGCACCACAGCTAATGTCTGTACCATGTAGCCGGTACTGCAAATTCCGTTGTTGGTCTTCTTTCTTTTCTCAGTTTTCCTCACCATGACGGTTTAATTAATGGTGGTTGCGACTTCGGCAATGATTGATTGTTAGGGGAGGGTTCGATGGACTCTCGTATGCTCTGGATGGCAGTCATGAGTCAGTCAAGTGTCAAGTCAAGTCGGCGGAATAGCGCGAGCTCCAGTGCGAGGAGCAAACGCTTTCCTCACCATGGCTGGTTGAAATCGTCCGCATCACATGTCTATTGGCACTGTCTCGTTGTGATTGTGGAATCACAACAATAATGATGCCGTATTTCTCGGCCGAACCCCCCCCCCCCCACCCTGGGTGACCATCTTCTCGATTAAAAAGTCTTCCCAGGGCTTGAACATGTAGTATGTATAATGTAGATCTATATGTACTCGTACCACCAGTGTAGTAGTTGCACCGAGCTCGTGTCCCAGCATCGCATGCACATGTATTTACACGAACGGCGTGACGTCACTTGGTCTCATCAAGCATACAGCGCGTGCAGGTATCGAGTCATGCCCTCAGCTGACCTGGGAACGCCCGCAGAAGGCACGCGGCTGCCATGGCAATGAAGCGTGTCGCCGCGGCGAGGCCTACACCATGCCCAAAGCCCATATAAAGACTTTGGAGTTGGCCGCACAACACACACAGGGTGCTATGGTGTTTTGTGTGCAGATATTCTCGGCGTGACAAGAGAGCGTATCACACCAAGAGTTAATTGCATGATCTTCAGCTTGGTTCCATGCAGCTACTAGGGCAGCTACAGTAAAACCTGTAACTAAAGACCACCGTGACTAGCGACCAGCCTTGTACTACAGTAAAACCTGTAGCTAAAGGCCACCGTGACTAGCGACCAGCCTGGTACTACAGACCACTTCGCCTGGAACGGACAATCTCACATTCATTATAATAATGGTTGAGCGGTGCAAACCTCTAACTAAGGACCACCTGCCACTAAAGACCGCTTTCTCTGGCCGGCCCCAAGGGGTGGTCGTTAGTCACAGGTTTAACTGTATATGGTTGTGCGGTGCAAACCTCTAACTAAGGACCACCTGCCACTAAAGACCACTTTCTCTGGCCGGCCCCAAGGGGTGGTCGTTAGTTACAGGTTTTAATGTACATGTACATGTATATAGTAGCCTTTGGCCTTGGCTGATATGCCGGCAGCAAAATTGGCAGAAGTTAGTACCCTTTCTGGTATGTTTCATGCATGTTTGGTACGTGGATAAAGAAATGGAGCAGAATTCAAGGAAGTGCCTGGCTGGTTTGTATAGTTCTACCAATTTCACTGCTTTTCAAGCAGAATCTGCCAATGTTTCGAACTGACTTCAAAATCCTCACCACGCGGCTCACCAGATCAAGGTGTGGGTCCTCTGCACTCACTAGAGTCAAGTCGAGCGAGCTGCAACTCCGGGTTCGAAAGGCGGGCTCACGCCCCTACGTGGCTACCCCCCCCCCCCCCAAGACTAAAATTAATTCCACTAGCCGACTGGCCGAAATTTTAAAAAAATGTTTCGAACATTACTAGTGTCCGCCAAGGGCTAAGCTATGAACGGGCTGGTATAAACTACACTGTAAACATACCGTGTAACACGATGGAGGTTGCTACTTCTCGCGTCGGTTTTGAGCACCTCCCAGCGCTGCAGCGTGATACTGCAAATGATGTGTCTGTCACACGTCCATTAGGAATAGTCAATGACACCAATCCAATGGTCACGTGATCGGATGACTTGTGCACAGTGAGTCAGTATGTGGCTAAGCTACGGAAAGTACATTGTAGATGGCCAGGTTTGCCAGGCGATCGCCCGAACACAGCAGACGCGCAGAGGGCAATGTACCGTCAACCGCTGTGACAACCTGCGCCGCGTTCCTGCCTCATCGAAAGTGAAAATAGAAAGTGCGGAAGTGCGCGTCAGGTCGTCCGCTCACGCTAAGATGTGTGTCGCTCGCCAGTACAGGGTGCACAAGGAGAGATTTCGACTGCATGAACTCACACCGATCCCTCCAGCGAGATTATCACGAGTCGTTGTTGCCTTCCCTTATACTGCTCCAAGTTGCTTGAGCGCGGCTTGAGTAAACCCTGAGTTGTGCATATCGGTAGACTATACGATACGGCATGGCTGATCAGCGGTCGAATAGTAAACTCGTATCAGTGCTAAAGAACATGACCGCACGCACAACCTACAATCGCCACATGTAGAGACGAACAGGTAAGACCTAGACAGACCATGCGCCGTTAGTCGACACCGTCCGACACGCCAGTACCGTTGCTCGGCGTGTGTCCATAGCGCACCGTGGAATGTAGCGTGGCGCGCGGCACGTGAGCTGTCCTCAGCAACGCACGGGCTCTTAACACGTTCCGATGGTGAAATCTGCGTAATATCCAGTCTCTGGCTCTCATTCTCTCAGTGATACACTTTATGCATTCCTACAGGACATGATCGCGTGGAACGGAGAGCTGAGCGGAGGCCTAAACCGTTTCACCAATGCTGTCACGCCACGGACGCCTCTTTTGTTCCTCGTGAAACCTGTGCGTGTGCGTGAACGCGCGCGCGCGCGCGTGTGTGTGTATGTGCCAGGCTCTCGCAGCTGCTGACCAAAAGTAAAACTGGAACAAGTGGATAGGTTAGCGTCTGACAGGTGACATTTCGACTGACAGCTGCAGTCGTGTCGCTAGGTTAGTTTCGACACAAGGAGGACATCCTTGCCTTCCTTCCCCTTCCTTCCCGTGCTGCTTGTAAGACATTTCCCCTCCGAGACACTACAGTGTGCCTGTGTGTGTGTGCGCAATAGTACTGTAATTGCTCTATGCAGAAGTAAGCCGAGACCCTTTCATACACACCCACATTGGAAGTGACGGATAGTGAATTAGCGCCCAGGAACAAATCGGCAATTCGTCCGTGCATACGTCTGTCTTTGGCAAGCATCTATGTGTAGGTTCTGCTGGTCTAGCATTGTCCAGGTGTGACAACTATTCCCCGTTATTCGCCACCGTGGAGATAGCGTGGGATACCAGCGTACATGCCCTCAATTTAATTCGCTGATCTGCCCAGCCCCGCGCTGGTACTGTGTGCAACAACTACGTGCTCTGCTCACACAGGAACGGCGGAAGCAGCTCTCTTCCTTTCTTCGACAGCTCCTGGATTAGTGTGAGGCAGTTGAACACAACAGGATTCTAGGCACATCTGACAGTTTCCAGACGAACGACAAGGCACAGTTTCCTGAGCAGTGTGTACCCACCTAGCTGAGCAGGCAGTGATTTGATCTCCAACCAAGGCCCGTGCGGAACCATCGGTGCCCAGGGACAATCGACTCTCAATTGAGACTTGTCAACGCGGACGAAGCGGTGAGTCTAGGTTGATTCCTGTGTCTCCGACCATACTCCCTGTGTCGGAAACACATGCTAGAACCAGCTCTTGCCGTGAGTTGTGGCTAGATGAAACTCATATTGTAGTTATTGGGCGGTTGCATTGGGTACTTTGTCAAATTGTTTCGCCACACGCGAAAAGTAGTGTGACCTGGAAACTCTTTGCTCCCGATTATGTCATTGCTGTCCATCCTCGTAAGCATGTGTTGGAGAAGAAGTTTGTCAAATCTTTACTTCTCGTCGAGTGAGAGGAAAGGGGAACTTCCCTGTGCTGTTTGGCAATGCAACATGTATGCTTGGTGCGTTCAACGCTGATGGAAAGATTGGTGGTTTCTTTTCGCAGTTTCATGGGACGATATCTTCGGACAGGAACGAGACTTTTATTACGCGAGCACCAATTTTTTTACAAGATGTCAGCGATGACTGAGCAGTACCTGCATACATGTCGAATCGTGACTCGCTGATATGCCTAACGGGCGAAGGACAGACGCACTAGGTTGTGTACTTAGTAAAAAAATTGTTCTGCATCAATGTGAAGAGGGGAGGGGTGAAAATGTTCTAAAAAAGTGTTGATTGCCCTCGTCTTTACGAATGTTGACATGATAATAATATTACGGAAAATGTCTCACCGCGAGTATTAATTAAATCATGGTTTCTCATCCGACTGTTTCACTCCCTGTTTGAATGACATCAACAACCCACACTTAGGCATTATAGGCAGAGAACGGTAAACGGTAAACTTCACCTCTAACTTATTCCAATATACCGGTACATGTATTCAATACATTGGAAGAATTATTTTGGTACACAGATGTATTTCCTTTTCTCTTATGATTCTATAACCACGGATACCAAAGCGGAGTATGCATGTATTAGCACCAATTTCCCTCGCTAGTTTCACCGGCGACAAACGAAGCCCACTCGAATCGGATTTCTCCCTCGAAGACGATACCTCTAGGTGGAAAGTATGCCTACAACAAAATAACTTCCTGACACTCAGTCACGTGGACTTGCCACGCGAACTTCATGATTTTGTTTCATTGGAGTCAGGTTGAAAACCTCGTGCAAACCGAGATGAAAGGAATGTATAATAATTATTACCAGTCAGACCTTTCCCGTTTTAGCTACCGCAACTACTGAATACAGTCAATGAGATTACCAATAAGAGGCCGTCCGACCACTTGCCACAGTCCACGTTTGTATGCATGGTGGCATCGCTGTAGCAGCCATAACGTTTCTGGATGACAAGTAAAACCTTACACATGCACAGTCAGGTATCGGAGGGTGAGGGAACGCGGGTGATACGTTTCCATCCATCGTCTTGCAGCCATTGGCTAATTGGTTGCTGTGTGGTAAGAATTGCCAGGGCATATCCCAATAGGTAGTCTGAGGTTTGTAAGGCAGCACGGTCTCACGCAGAGGAAGCGGACGGGCTCGCCAGGTTCCGCTCTGGGGCAATGGCCATTTCCGAACGCCAGGCCGTTGACAGGAAAAAGTATCTGAAATTTGCTAAGGCTGAAATACGATCCAGGCCAGTCAGCCATTACTGTACGTGTGTGCCAAGGGCAGAGCTAGGAGGTAATGAGTGAAATTAATACGCTTATGGGTGAGGCTATTTGCAGGACACCAGGTGGTGTTTGGTTCGGTCGTGGCCTTAAAGTTAACTTCAAGCTAGGCGTTAACGTTGGTAGTGCCGCAAGACAACCATGGGATCCCTTCCATTCTTCTATACTGTGGAGAATGGTATACAAATATTCACGTTTTTTGGTGCTGTCCTGCTCATTGAAACGAAAGTGAATTCCAATCATGTACATGTACATGTACGTGTCAGGGCATGTGCATGTGCATGTGCATGGGTTGGTTAAAACTTCTAACAAAGAATTCTATACATACGATAGTGTCCAGAGAACGCTGAATTTAAAGGATAGAGGAAGTGGATGGGAGTTGGAAGGGGAGGATATTGTTGCTTTTGTACCGTCAATCCTACAATGTTAAAGAGATCTCTCATCTTTCCTATTAATGTTGCAATCAACCGGACAACCTCGTGCCGCATACAGTACGTGTAGCGGAGTTATAGAAGCGTCGAACCAGGCTAGAGGATGTCCGAATGTGCACAGTTTGTACGCGCGTGTGTGTGCATCTGTAAACCTTTGGTTGTTGGGGAATCTGTCCGCACGCACTCGCCGTGTATTCGTCTGTTATGCCTACATGTGTATGTAATGGTGGTTATGTTTTGGTCGAGTCGTTCGAGTTTGGTTCACACCCGTCGTTACAGACATTGTGCTCTGTCGGTGAGTTCCTCGCCGAGTACACAATCAGAGTGACACCATCTGCGCGTTGGTTTCTGTGGGCTTGGCAAAATAATGGCTGGTCGCTAAGTAGCCCCTGTTAGTGACAAATCGCAAGTACTTTGTACGACATCGTGTTCAACACGACACGCTCACTTGCGCTCGGAGTGTATCTCATCGACGCAAAGACTGTCCACAATTATTGTGTAGATTGAGATACGATTCAGCTTGTACTTAGTACTTGCTGCTACAGGCAATGTGTTTAAAAATTAATGCCTTCACTTGTGCGGGCATTCCCGGCCGACCAAGCTGGTTGGTTCGGCCGCAATCTTTTCTTTGGTGGTCAGCGCGCACGGCGAAGTATACGCGCAATGGGGGGGGGGGGCATGTATGCTCGCGCTCCTGTGTGTGTGTGTGTGTGTACGCGAAATCTGTGGGTGCACATCCAGTGCATTTGCAGAGTTTGCGTGCTTCTCTTGCGACGGGCGTATACATGGTAAATGGTGGGTTAATACATGAGTATTTTGTACACTCGGAGAAAATTGCGGCATGCAGCTCTCGAGAGTGCTCGATGCACAGTGAGCCTGCAGTTCTGGAGGTTTCTCGCATCATTAGTTTCAGTTGTAACTCTCCACGTTGGTATGCAGCCGTCGCGCAGAGCCCAGAACTATGGCAAAGCGATGCACAAGACAACTGGGAAGCGAAGCGAGAGGCCTTCTCGCCCCGTCAAGCTGCTCACGCACGAATGTATATGCGTGTGTGCGCGCGTGTACGTGTGTGCATGTGTGTGCATGAGTGCATGCGCTGTAACTCTAATATCAGTTGTTTGTCTGTGTAAGGTGGCTTGCACATGTAAGACTACTAGTTGGTTATAGCGACATGGTGGTTGTGTATGTGTGTTCGTTCGTATATGTGCTTGTATGTGTGTGTGTGTGTTCGTGCGTGTGTGTTTGTGCATGCGTGTGTATACGTATGCATGCGGGCTCCATGACTTTCCCCGGTCTTCAAGTAATGGTTGACTCCAAGGGCAAGACCATCAAAGAAAATTGTATTGTATTGTTCTATTTTACTTGGGCATTCCCAACAGATCGTAAGATTCTTGTACAGGGTGCCCACATGATGTCGGCCATGTTGTTTCCACTGTCCACATGGCATTATCACTTTCTGCACAAATTTAGTCACATGACCAAGATGCGAAGCCACTATAATTATCGAGCATATCAAAACCGGGGTGGCTCTCGAGCTTGCCGCCGATCAGGCAACGGAATGGACGTGAGCAAACGGGTCGCAGCTTCTGCTCCAAAAACATTTCGGCCTGTCTCGCCAGTGTCCTTGCTGCAGTAGCTTGCTACCAGACGCGGGGGAATTCACGTGCGCTCTTTGAAGCTTCATGCTGCGCTCACTAACCTCAGGATACTACGTACACGTACATGTACATGTACAGCGTTGGTTAAAGAACCTCCAGGACCAAGGAACAAAACATGGGTACTTCACAGCTCAGGTGCTGAACATTAGAGGTCCAGTGATTTACAAAGGTTACCCAGGATGCTGGAAAAGTATATATTATTTTTCTGCTGCAGACAGACATGTTTGGACATACGATACTTGTACTTTTGTGCCGTGGTCAACACTGGACCTGTAAATTCAACGTGTGAGTTTCAAACCTAGCAGTGCTTGAATACAGACACGACGACGGACACTACAGAGTACGTACAGTGAGAATCCAGAGTGGAGGCGAATAAAATCCGACCTGCAGTGGATACGTGCAACCTTTTTCTGTAGAAATGTACATGCATAGCCAAGTAGTCGCTGACATATACAGGTAGCAGCGCCCTTTGTTCTTGTCGGTCACGCTGCTAACCACGGAACCAAAAAATGTGGTGACAGGAAGTCGGATTTTGCTTGAAGTATGCAATAGCAGTCCAGCCAAATCCGGCGGGTCAAAACGACATGTCCACGCACATGCATGTTGATCTTGTACTTCGCTCCATGCGGCAGAGAAGTGCGTTCACAAACGTCCGCATTCCACATGCTGTAGTGCCGATCATCTAATCAGTGAAGGTGCCCAGCCGGCGGCGGCGCCGATCGCTAGCTTTGAGAACACTTTCGCACATACACACGTCGAGCACCTAATGTAGTCAATCATGGGGGACGCGCGGTCGTTCATATACATGTACATAACTATAATAATAAAATAATTAATAATGTATTTCTTTACCGAAGCTCGGTTCTAAAACACGCGGGTCCTAAAACATTCAGCCTTCCATGTACATGTACTGTACATGTAGTATCTGGTTATTCGTATAGGAAGAGTGCTCATTGAAAGTGTCAGGACTCCCTGTCCGTGTTGTGATGAAAACATAGACTCGACTTAGCCAGAAAACAAAGAAATGCAAAGAAAACTCAGCTCGAGGCTAAGAAGACGCAAAGCATACTTCAAAACGCACAAATACAATAAAACAAAGACCATGCCAGAGCAAGGGAAATGAGAGAGGAAAATCCGTTGCTTTCCCAAACATTATAATGTTTAGAGAAAGGAAAGGAACAACGAACTACATGTACAAGGTACCCTATAATGTTCCTATAACTTAGAGCCTTCCGAGTTGGAAGGCTGTTGGAGTGTGCATCCAAGACATCCTAGAGCTGATTAGCAGCTAGTTGTGGAAAAGCCAGTACCATTGGTCAGTGTCCTGCAATGCTATCGCACGAGCTGATTGTCAAGTAACTGGTGGTACTAGTGGACATTATAGCATAACGTGTAGTTCCTACAGGCCCTTTTCCTTTCTGAAATATTATCCTTGGCTCTCCATCCGAGTCCATTATACTGATTCTGTGATCAGACCACAATTCGAATCTTGGAAGGAATGAGCTGATCTTGTCTCGTGTGTCGTATGTATTCGCATGATTTACGCTGCAGCTTGGCATTCTTCGAGGTTACTACCCCCTGCACCTGTGTCGGTGCTCGTTGGCAACGGTTGCCTGGCGACAAGGCAAGTATTCTGCTGACGCTGGTTAGCTCGACGGGGCGTGATGCAGCCAATGTGTTCCATGGCTCGTCGACATACGGAGACCAGTGCAGACATGGTCTCGCACACTACAGGTGAGCGCCTTTAGCTGAATGTTGCTGTTCAATTAACCAATGAAATCCGATCACAGAAGTCACGCAAGCGGAGCTCTGTGCGGCCTCGCGACCCTAGACCTGTACTCAAGACTCCATGATGTGGACTTGTTGCAGAGCGCAAACCTAACATGCGTGGTCGGATTTCATTAATACGCACTGTAGTTACTACTTGGGAACGTTGTATGTACATTGTACATGTACATATACACTGGTTTCAAATGAAATCCGACCCCTGAGCGGTGAGTTGACATTCTTGCGGTCTCTATTTCGAAGTGTACATGTACATAATACACTGGTTTCAAATGAAATCCGACCCCTGAGCGGTGAGTTCACATTCTGGTGGTCTCTATTTCGTAGCGTTACAATCCCGTTTTGGATCTTTGCGATGTGGGCGGTGCGCACCGCTCAGGCGGTCGGATTTCAGTTGCCAGTCACAACGATCCAATCCATGGTTGGAGAATGGAGACAGAAGTCGATTGTTCCGCCAGCACTGGCGGTAGATTGCGGATTCATCTGTCGAGACTCACACCAGAGCGCACAATACAGTCCTAGCCACGGAAATCCGGCCTCCTGAATATAACAGCGCTGGAGGCTATGTGGACCGAGGACCACACACACCACACACACACACCACACAGCGCCGCTACTTCACTCATAAAGTCGGATTTCTCTGGCCAGAGCTGCACATGATTGTGTCGGCACATGTGCATACAGTGAATGGTGGTCTCCTCGGACGGTTGGTCGATGGTAGACAGATGCAGGTGTATGCCGAACTAACAAACGTGGTCTGGTTCATGATGTGATTGTTCTCTAAAACAAACAAAAAAACACATACACATGTACGTCTCCGTGGATGGCTGGTCAGAAACGACAGGTTTTTTATAATTGTGGCGGTGACATTATGTAACGAGTCCCTCAACATGGATGCTGCGAATGGTATTTTTTGTTGGTCTTTGACCACTTTGTGGTGGATATGATCTATTCAGGTTCCACCGCTTTAGGAGCTGCATCTGTGCCTTGATCCGTAGAGGGTGGTGGCGTTCCTATACGGATGCTGACAAAGAGAGACCGTCGCTGTCTATTCGTAATACAGTACATGTAAAATGATGGTCCAGCATGGGGCAGGGGCGTTTCTCATAATAGGCATGTGCGGACAATGCCGGCAGAAAAATTGGCAGAATTCGGTACTTTTTCTGGTAAGTTTCATGCATGTTTGGTATGTGGATAAAGAAATGGGGCAGAATTCGAGAAATTGCCCGCCATAGGGTTTGTATGGTTCTGCCAATTTCACTGCCTTTCGAGCAGAATCTGCCACCTTTTCGAGCATTATCCGCCAATGCCTAGTACAAAAGGTCCTGGAAACTCATTGTTACCCTTGGTACCGGTAGATGCACCCAGACAATGACACCATGTTCGTGCATTAGGTGCGAGGACACGCAGAGTCCTACACCGGCGATCAATGGTGCAAGAATACTTCGAAGTAATATCAAAATGACTATCATACATAATAATGTAGCTTCGGCAATTTTCAACAGCCCTCCGCGTCCTTACTGCTATGATCAAGAGTATAATCTCCAAGAGTACAGTCATGTATAAGCCCAAGGGAGCTTTTTTATTCTTGCTATGAATGATTTTAACTGTTCCACACATACAAGCGTGTAGTCGTACATGTACATGTACATGAGCTAGCCTAGGTGCTGCAGCCTGTCTGCAAGTGAACGCATTCGTGGGGAACGAACGCATTGTACTGGAAGCACGCAGGGAGTAGCATGCATGATCTGCCGGCATACATTGAGCTGGTCCAGGGATAAATGCCCCGCCTATCAAGCTGGGCCACCATGTCAAAATGCAGTCAGGTAGATCGCGCTTCCTGGACAGCCAGAGACAGGGCCCAGGCAGCAGGTTCGTCCAGTTTTGTTCGAGAATGCTGTCAAGAAGGAAAAACGAGCGTGGGTGTGCGTTGGGGGGGGGGGGGGGACGTCCGAGGAGAGCAAGTATGATGTGGACGCTAGTATGTCGAATAGTGTAATATCGCCTAGCGCTTGTTACGGAAGAATACGAAAGTACATCTTTGTTTCACTGCAATAATCAGGTACAGTGTCCAATCGTCATGTGCATGCATCTCATGTATCATGCTCGTGTATGGGTAGGAATTGTTGGCGATCGTGTGTCGTTGAAACATGGCACCCAGGATGTGACTGATATGACCGGGGAAGGCAGACTGCTCTGGCCTCATTCTGTGCATCCGGGACCAGGGACGTGACGCAAGAGGTTCAGAGGCACAATGTACAGTGCTGGAAACTGAAATCCGACCACTGAGCGGTGTGTTCACATTCTAGCAGCCTCTATTACGTAGCTTTGCAATCCCGTGTTGGGCCTGTGCGATGTGAGCGCACCGCTCAAGGGTTGAATTTCACTTGCCAGAACTGTAGTTTGGGCAGCCACTGGTACTAGCATCAGGAACGTGAGGCAAGCGGAGGGGGGGGGGGAGGAGGGGGGAGGGGGGGGGGGGGCATAAAGTGGCGTTGGCTACAGTTGCAGATCTAGGCCGGCTTCAACAGTTCCAGGTCATCACATTGGCAGCTGGTAATAATATTATACTATTGGGCAGAATGGACAGGGTTTGCACTAGAAACAGTGTAAAATCTAATATTCCGAGTAGCCCACATCAAGGGAGTCTCGGTCAACAGCTTATGAAGAAAAAGAAACACACACACACACACACACACACACACAAGCACACGCGCGCACGCACGCACGCAAGCGCGACAGGACGCTGCCGTGGGCATGCAGACTGCGCATGGCATCCGTTCGGACACAGCTGTGGCCATGTGCTCTGCCGCTAGCGTGCGCGCTAGCCGTCTCTCGCCAGGAGCCTGGTTTCCGATATGGTATCCGGTAGGCCGCAGCAGCTCGAACAAGATGACAACAAACCTCCACCGTTGTTGGTCTCCAGTAGATGGATTCAGTGCAGCGCGGCTGGTTTGTCGAAACAGTGGCGTTGCGTCTTCTTCTCGTGGAAATCCGGGCAAGAAGGAACTGGGGTGGTGCTGTCGAGATTCTGCCAGGCGTTTAGGAGCTTCCCGAGATACGACGCCTATTTGATTACGGAGAAGACTGCAAGAAACGCTGCGGCGTCTGAAAGCGAGGGAACGAGGAAACGCACAAAAAACAAAGGTAGGGTGCAATTTTCTTGGACAGTGGGATAGGTGTGTGCTGTGGGAGTGGAGCGGCTGAGTGCTGTATCGACTCGCGCTGTGTTAAAGGCTTGTGGGAGTGGAGCGGCTGAGTGCTGTATCGACTCGCGCTGTGTTAAAGGTTACTGGAGACGAGCTGAAATGCAAATTTTGCGTTTGCTACCGCCATTATAGCCACGTCTAGGGACTTTCTCCGCCTGAGCTGATTCTTTTGCATGCTCTGGGTGCATAGTATGTAGCTGTGTGGGCTTGGGGAAATGATGGCCGCCGTTGCAGGAAGATTGAGGAACTAAAAGGAACAAGGCAGAAGTCGGGAAAGTGAACAAGGTAGCGACACGGGTAAGGCAGAAAAGGCATGCCCGATAACCGACTTGCAGCATTTAAAAGAGAAAAAGCCGCAGGACAGATGAAGGAAGGCGATCTGAGTCGGGATAACTTACGTGTACATGCAAGCATTAAAAAAAATAGTTTTTGGCCTTTTTCGTGCTTTCGGGTTATTTGTTGTTTTTGAGAGTAAAAAAAAGAGTTCTTTATATGCAAGCATTGGATGCTCATGATGCAGTAACGTCACAGTCACTGGAAATTATGAACGACGTCGGATTTTCATCATAGTAATAAGGCAAGGACTTTCGAGGTGACGACAGCAAAATGCGCCAAACAAGTAAGTTGTCAACCTCCTCGACTTGAGCAGAGTGTGAAACGTTCCCAAGATGTACTGTAAAGCAATGAGAGTACTTTTCTAACACCAGAATGTGTCATTCTGTAAGGAAAGGAGCTGTATTCCATCACGTGAAGTGGTTCATCGCGTCTGTGTTGGCCAGCTCTATGATAAAAGGTGTACACAAGCTTCACGGCATCGTAGCGATACAGTCTTGAAAAGGTATACCAAGTATCTACATGTAATAATAATTTATTACGTTTCGCCCGTGCTTTGCTATAGTCTCAGAGCTGTCTGACATGTTGGAAGGTTAAAATGGGATTGCGTGCTCCCTATTTTCTTTTCTTTTTCCTCTTTCTCCGTGGTTGGTCTCATCCTCTCCTCACTTCAATTGGCCGTCTTGACATGCTACGAGGTGCAGAAGTAAATAAATAAAGTACTTCATAAGGAAGTTGGTGGCCTAGCACACTGGAGATCGGGCTTTTTCCGCCCATCTGACTTGACACTTGAGTGACTCGCGACTGCCATCCAGAGCACAAGAGAAATCCATGGTACTTTCGACTCAGCAAACCTGCATTTTGTTGACAAGAACATTGCTATGATCCCGTTGGCGTTCATTATCAAACATTTTCTACAACCGTGGTCTAACATTCGGCTAATTCTGAGGCCTTTTTTGAGCGGCTGTAGATACAGTGCTGGCAACTGAAATCCGACCCCCCCCCCTTGCGTCTCGTACGAATCGCTAACCCGGCTAGCGCACCGCTAGGGGGGGGGGGTCGGATTTCAGTTGCCAGCACTGTAGTTATGCCTGTCGTGTGTGGACTGCTTTGCGACCTGTAATGCTGTATACCAATTCAGAGGGTGCACGCTGTTAGCTGTACTCCCCCCCCCCCCCACACACACACCAGTAGTCTCTATCACATCAGTCTTGTGCACATAATGGCGAACAGTTTGGAATAGAGCGGAACACGGAGAACTGTATGACTCTGGTAGGTACAATGCAATGCATAGGCGAGTTCGCCACGGGAAACGGAGGACATTACGTCAGGAAGTGAGGGATCTGTGTAAGCGGACTGTCGCATGTAGAGGCGTCCGCAGCAAAGTGGACGTAACGGATATCCTCG